AAATGCTTCGAAGTATTTTCTTAACCAATCAGAATAAAGAATTTCATGAATTGACCAATCAAAAAATCCAAGTGAATCGCATCCTTGGATTAAAATGTAAAGAGATACTATATTATATTTAAGATATCCTATAAGATTTTGGGATTCTTAGGAAAATTCGAATTGATTATATCGGGGTTAGTTAAAATAAATCGAACAAGCTTTCACATACCGAAAACAAAAAGGATAAAAAAAATCAGCATACGCGACACTCCGGCAGCATTTCATCATATTTTCATTGAGATTCAATAAAATTGACAGGAATATGTCTGCCATGGAAAATGTGTGGAAACGAATAGTAAGTATTCTATGATGAAATATTGTCTATGATATGATGATACAGCACTTATTATTCCTTTGTTCATTCTTGAATTCCTGAATTTCCAAATATTAACATGGCGGATGTGGGCGGATGATACGTGCGACATGCAGAGTCAGAAATATATTCGACACGTAGTGCTCGTAATAGTTGTATTGTGACTTGACGTCATTCGTTAAATTTAATGAAATCATAAATTATTTATTCCTATCCAAAGACGCGTGTTTAATAGCTCATGCTACGTTTGATCGTTTGATGCACATCTAGCGTTGCGCATTTGATTCACGTGGTGGAAGAACTGGATGTGACCTGTTATGGGATACTTCCGATTTGCTCCGGCTTATTGGTGCCATTAGGTAGAAGCGGCTTCGAGTAGTCAGGTAAAACATTATTCAGTACAAATTTTTAGGAATACGAAATACGACATCGAGATGTGATATTATACGAACGTGCGAGCGTACCCAACAGCAGCGTTGGATTCTAGATAACATTTCATTGCAGATGGCAAATAAACGACGAAATATAGACGGATTACGGTTGAGAATCTCATAGCCACACAGGTCTTCGATGCCACGGGAAGAGTCCACCGTGCAGGCGAATCGGATCTACATCTTGACTATACGTCGTTCTCATTATCATAGGAAATGTTCCGTTTCTCATACATCACCGTCGTGAACATTTATTTTCCGTAAAAAAGGATTTAATTTTAATCGAATGTGAGTGAATCTTGCTATTTTCCATCACAAAAAAAAAAAGAAAAAAACGAAAAAAAGGCTAAGCGATTGAAGAAAAACCAATGGTAGATTGAGAGTCACTTGAATATTTCCCCGAGAGATTCTGTTTGAAATTTCGTTGCGTAATTGTTAGAACGGTGATTTGAACGTGAACAACGTAGAAACACCGTTGTTGATCAATCGATCGGTTGCTGGTGAATCATATCGAGACTTTGTGACATAATCATGTATGGACTACTGAACATCAGGGAGTCAAGCGAAAGGTTCACGGGAATCTTGCAAGTGTAAATCGAAATTCATCGTCTCGGGTGAAGCGGATTTTCTTGTTTATCGAGTGCTGAAAGACGGGAAAAGGGACAAAAAGTGTTAGTTTTTTTATTTTTAAGATATGGAAACTTCGTCCGAATATATACATGAGAGACATCTTAGGTGTGTTGCACAAATAGAATGGGGTCGCTATATGACACGACGCAACGCGACAACGGGCGGCGACGGCGGAGGTGGCGAAGTGACGAAAGCTCATTGGGCGGCCGTTATTGGCCAGCGTGGAAAGGCGTTCTCAGTTCCGATTAGTCGGCCGCGCAAGACGGGCGGGTGGGGTATGCGCGCGACGGTTGCGCGGCGGGCATCCGGGCTAGTCGAGTGAGAATTATCGTTGCGGAGTAGAGCGCACTCGTATCCTCGCTTTTATCTGAGCATTTTTAACGAGCGGTCGTTGCGAGTTCCGCTTCAAACCGTCGTCTATTTTAGGAGGTAGAAAATGACCATGGTAATTGCGCATCCGTAGTTCACGTAGGGAACGGCTGGTCACGAGAATTCCATCGGAGATTTGCACGATTCGAATATCCTTGGTATTATCATCCCTGTCGATTAGAACCGCGCGGCACTCGGTACTTTGTAGCGTTAAAGCAATCGGGGGGGGATTTTATATTGAGAAACTCGTCGAACTCGCACGACCTAAAACGACGTGCCAGATCGGAGAGGCACCCGCTGACATATATTCATCATCTGGCTCTCTTCGAGCTCGCGCGACCGTGAGAGATTACGTTCAACAATATGGCGGAATGAGTGCGTCGCCCGTTGTTCGAGCCGCGCACGCCAGAGATTTCAAGTATTTCACGTTTCGTTGCAGACGCGCGGGGACGCGCGCGATGAATCCATGCTCGATCCCAGGTCCACGCTCAATACGATGAAAATGCTCTGAAACGCTAGCAACATCAGCAAAATGGTGAGTCATATTCACAGGATTCTTTTTTCCTCCCCCCCCTTCCCATGTTTCGCTGCGAACGTGGCGAGTTTTTTTTTGGTAGGCGCGTAATTCGGGAGAGGTGGCGCCATCTGGCGAATTAGACGATGGCAAGAGATCAATAACCTTTGCTCTCCTCTTGATTCGTATTCCATTTTGATCGTTACGAAAGCCGCGCAATTCATTAATTTACAAGATTAGTTGGTTTGCCGTTGTCCACAAGTGCACAATGTTAAACAAATTTATATATTTGAATAAATATTGATAAATATTGATGAATAAATTAAACGATATCTTTATATTAATGTCGGGTAATATGAAATGCAATAATATGCATTAACGCATGAAAAATAATTTTATGCACAAATAATTCTTGCAAAATTGTTTTTTATTTAATAAAAAATTATTTTTAAATTGCGATAAATATATATTGAAATTTATTTAATTTAATGGATACATTAAATTTATATTTGAAAATATTAAAAGAATTAATGATTAATCTCATTTATTATTTATTTATTATTTTAAAAAAATATTTTATATTATTTTCTTGATGCTGCAAATTTAAATTAGATAATCTATATTTAAAAAATTTTTCACTTTAGTTTTTATATTTAAGAATATCTTTAGAAAAATCCAAATATTTTGTGATATTCGGATTTTTCACTAAATATCCGAATATTTGATGATATCCAAATATATAAAGATGCTATTCATTAAAATATTGATATTTAATTACTAAAATTTTTTGTTTCTAATTCATCTGCTACTATTTTTCTAGTACATTAACGTAATTATATCAATCTTTTTATCATAGACTGTGTTCATAGCATAACTACTAGAAAAAGTAGTTTTCCAATCATAAAATTTTTTTAATATGTTGAGTATTATGCATTTAATAATTGGTAGAACTAGAGAAATAAAAGAACCATATTAAAAAATCTTACACAGTTGCGAGGTTGCTTTTTCTGCTGAACGCAGCTATAGTAAATATTTTCTATACAAGGTGTCTCTGGATCTCAAGGTGGTTTCTATTATACCTAGAAAACTTGTAATTTTTTCTGTTTGAAGAAAACTAGGAACTTGTATGAAATTTCGTAAAGCCTGAGGCTTGTTCTTTTTGGCTGAATTGGTTGTACTAGTTTCATAGTTTATCTTTCTTTCTTTACACTGGAAGAAGAAAGATAAATCCTGAACTAATGCAGCTAGTTTAACTAAAAAGAACAGACCCCTTGTATTCACGATGCTAGAGATCGGTCCAAGATCTCGGACAGAAAGATTTTGGCAGAATTATTCAAGTGTAATTGGTCAATTTTTTTCCATCTGAAATCTCAGATCGATTTCTAGCACAAGGCTTTAAGAATTTTCTGGAATTTCTCTTTTATTGAGATAATATCCTTTAGAATTTTATTTTACAAGCAACACTCAGTCACACTTTAAGTTAATTTATTTTTATTCAACAAATTTTTATGATTTAATTTAACATACATTTTTGCAAATTTTTCTTTTATGTTCAATATTTCAACAAAGTGAAAATGTAACAGAATTACATCTTTGTTTTATTGTACTTTTTAGAAATGAGAAAAAATGAGATTTTTATACAATGTAAAATATATACTGACTTCCTACTTTTTTTTATTATTTAAAATTTTCTTTATAATTTATGATGCCCACAAAGTATTATTAAAAATCAGTTATTTTATAAAAATTAGTATAAATGCTACATTTTGAAAGGTTAGTTTATAATATATTAATCTTGTGATATCTTAAAGTTTTATAAATATGTATATCCACGAAGTGATATTTACTTTTTATTTAAAATTGCATTTCAATTTCTTATTATTAGTTGTCTCTTGTGTTTTAATTGCAAATAAGAAGAATTTTCTAAAAATATGATTTTTCAGCTATGTATATAAAATTGTAATATAAATATACATATGTATATATTTTTTCATGAAATATTTGTATAAAAATAATTTAGGTTATATTATAACCTAATTTTTTTTTTATATTTTATATATTAAATTGTTAAATAACCTATTCTAATTATCGTTCGATCTACCGAATATTTTTTAATAATAAAATTTTCATATGGAAAAAAATTATATATATTTTAAATATTTACTTAAGAATGGCTTGACTTTATAGACTTTTGAAAATTATAGAAAGTAAAATAAACAGCAATATTTATATTTTTGTAGAATTTCTTTAAATAATATGATTGGATTTTTTAGATTTTTCTTTGAGATTATGAATAGACACCTCGTATTTTATTTTTTAATAATTTTCAACTTTTTAGTTTTTTAAATTTTGAAGTTGCAAACATTTTAATTCTTATATGATGAATGTATCAATAATGTTTTTCTTTTCTTAAATTGTATTTTCAGCCACGTATAGACCCTTTATCATTACTCAAATGCCTTAGCGTTTTATTGGGTCCACTAGGAGGTATTAAGAGTAAAGAAGAGGTTCATCGATTAGCTAGTTTAATGACAAAATTTTCTAAGAAGCTTGTTTCAAAATGCATTTATATACAAATATTGAAAACCACTAATACGGATTTACTTAGCCAGTAAGTATCAAATTGAAAATCTATGCACATAATATTAATATTATTTAACTTTATAGACATGTAATTCTATTATTTCTCGTGACATTAATATAATAATCATAAAATTTATAAAAAACTTATTTAGCATGTTGAGATGCACAAGTATATGTAATTCATATATTTGTGTAAAAGAAAATATAAACATGCAAAAGAAATTATAAAAGGCTCTGAACCATTAGGCGGTGCTTTTTGTGTGCCGTTTTTACTGATATGAGTCTTACATAGTTTTGTTCTAAAATTTATTAAAATTTTATTATTTTGTTTTATCAGTTACATATATGATTGCTGAATCTCTTTAGAAGAATATATAATAATAATTTAAAGAAAAAATCAGATAAAAATAACAATTTATTTTTTGTTATTTACATGAACTATCATAATTTTTAATATTTGTGTGGAGTTAATCTTTTTATGAATAAAGGAAAATTTTAGAATTTAATTATCATAATGTTATATTTATAATATTGCTAAACATTATAATAAAAATTGGGATTTAGAAAAGTATATAATTTGAGATAAATATACGATCTATCTACAAAATTAAAATACAAAAAATATGTAAATTGAATTATACATTTTACATTTTGTAATATCTCTTTTTGCAGATTTATGAGCGCTGGAGGATGGAACCTCATTCACACATGGCTCACCGATGGCATTCTTGCCAAGAACTGGGCTCTTATTCAAGAACTTCTCGAGCTTCTCTTGCTCTGTCCCGTAGATATTGAACGATTAAAGAGTAACAATTGCCCAAAGTTAATCAAAGGTTTGTCGAAGGAGGGTAGTCACCAGGGTGTTCGGACATTGGCTAGCCGACTTGTAGAGCAGTGGTTAAAAATTGTAAAGGGAGAAGCGGCGCCAAATTCGGTACCGGCTCAAATCATGACGGTTTCAGTACAATCGAATGCTACTGTAAGCCAATCTGCAGCTGTTCCTTTGCAACATCAGCAACAACAGCAGCAGTATTCCACTAGTTCTATTCAACAAACCGAGGCAACGGAAGGTACAACTCTTCTCGTGCAAGATTTCAAGCTCGCGCAACAACCTACCACAAATATTTTAGTAAATCAGCAAGAGCAAGAGAAGCAGCAACAACTGCAGGAAAGGTTACAGCCTCAAACGGTGCAAATTGTCAGTAAAGCCCAGCAGGCGCAAGTCCAGCAGCAAGTAACGCAGCAACAATGTAAAAAGCAAACGTTTGTTGTTGTACCGTCGTCGTCACTGCCTGTTTACAAGATTACTATTCGCGATGGCAATCAAGTCCTCGCCAAAGTAGAGACGGACGCTGCAAATATAAGTAATGCCCTAAACATAGCTAGCACAAGTACGGAAATCAATGGGACGGACGCTACACAGGAAGTGAAGCCAGAAGTGGAAGAATTAGATAGGACAGAAGAAAATAACAGTGCAGCTGGTAGTCGAGACGACGCGATAGATGTTATACAATCGGACGATTCTGGGCACATTCCTAGTGAAGTGAAACAAACTGTAATTAGTTCTAAAGACAATCAAGATTCCGAAAGTGTTAAGAGCAAAGACATTAAAGACTCTAAAGACATTGTTAGTAGTGATAGCGGTAAATCTAGTGATAAAGAAAATAATAGGGACTCTCATAAAAAAGACGATAAAAGATTCAGTAGTAGTTCCGATAAAAAAAGTAGCAGCCATCATCATGGCTCGTCTTCGTCTTCATCTTCATCATCTAAAAGTTCGAAGCACAGCACGAGTTCCAGTACGCACCGCAGTAGTTCCACATCTCATAGATCTAGTAGTCACCGCTCCAGTTCCAGTAGTTCTAAAACTTCTAGCTCTAGCAAAGATAGGTCTTCCAAAGACAAGGATAAGCATCACTCTAGTTCATCTAGTAAGCATAGCTCAAGTAGAAGTAAATCCGAACGAGACAAGGAACGAGAAAAAGAGAAGGAGAAGCAGAAAAAGGATCAGGCGGAAAAGGACAAGGCGACGCTGGAAAAAGTGCAAGGCCAAGCATTGAGTTCTAAGATGGGCAAGATACCGAAGAAGCGGACGGAAGATGAGAAGTCGAGCGATGCAAATGGAAGAAAGTCTTCGACTGAATCGCGTGATGGTTCGAAGGAAAACAAAGAGAAAGCGGATTCGAAGAAAGATGCTGTTTCAACAAAACTCATTGCCGAAAAGAAGAATATATCTATTTCCATTGAAAATAGGAAAAATAATCAGAATATATCCATTTCTATTGAGAATAGAAAAAATAGTCAGGATTCGGGGACACGACCGAAAACGGTGAAGACGTTCAATTCGAAATTCAGATCCACAGGCTTAGAGGAAGAAGTAAAGCCACCACCACCCAGATCGAAGAAGGCGAATCCTGTTGTCGATAAAAAGGTCCTGCCTCCAAAATTGCCTTTGAAGAGGCCATCGCCGTTGAGGGACACCGTTCTAATGACTGAGAAACGTGTGAAGCTGTCACTGGACTCACCAACAACACCACCGAGCGATGAGAAGAAGGGAGGGATTAAACTGATTCCACCAAAACCTAAACGTAAGTATATTGGTATCTTATTACAAACTATGTATAAAATTTCTTTATTAATACATGATCTCTATCATAATTTTCTTTTTACTTATATTCTTATCTTAATCTAAATGTAAACATAGTGCTAATGTTCTGAGATAAAGCAGTCTATAAATTGAATTTTAACTATTTAATCTAATCAAATTACTCTATATATTATGTAAAACTAAACTTATTTTATGTTTTATTTTTGATAAAAAATATATTGAATAATATTGAAAATATATATAAATTTAGGAATATTTTTATATTAAATGCAATTTTAAGAAAACAGAGCAAAAACCAAAATGTTTTTAGAGCAAATATCTTCAAAATTATCTTAAATTTATCAATGACTATAAAATAGTAAAGACTATATAAAATAGTAAGACTATAATAAAAATAGTAAAAAAAAT